AAGTTGTTTGTACACAGAGATTGCTGAGACATCTGACTTCTTCTTTAGCTCAATTTGTCATAATTTCTACCTAGACCAAAAGGATTTTATCCCTAATTTAATATATGCTTTTGAACATTTTTGCTCTCCAGACCCTGTATTAGATTGTTTCAGCATCATACTCCTTTAGTGGTGAAGGACCTACTAATTTCCAGCCTAAATTTATTCACGGCCAGTTTATACCCATTTGTTCTTGTGTCAACATTATCCTTTAGTTTAAATTGCTCCTTTGCCTTCCTAATGTTTATCCTCCTGATGTATTTATAGACAGCAATCATATCTGCTATCAGCCTTCATTTTGCTAGACTAAACAAGCCAAGCTCTTCTAGGCTCTTCTCCGGTGATGGGCTCTTCACTGCCGGCACCTGGTCGGATCTGGGTTGCTCAGCAGTGAATACAAGGGACCTGGATTGTGCACAGCATCCCGATGAGCACTCGCTGCTTGGCACAGGGAAGTAACATCGCCATATCTGCAATGCTAATACCACACGCAACGCGTTTGCCCACAGCGTTTGTGTCTTGCTCAGGGGCAGGGAACTGGTGGGACGTGATGCCCGTCCTCCTTGCTCATGTCCAGCAAGCTAGCTTCCAGAAAAGTTTTGTTATTGGTCCCTTCCTGCATTATCTTGTATTTCATACTATTAAATCGCATCTTATTTCTGTTATTTAATTAGGTTACCCTTCTTCCAAGCTGTTCATTCTTCCTGTACAAGGTACTGCTATCTATTTAACCAAGCCCTTGATCAACTTCCCATTAACCAGCTTAACCAATTTCTTCAACTAATTCCCATCTTCTGGAATTTAGCTGATGTGTTTCTTTGTGGCACTGTATCAGATGATTGACAGAAGAGCAGACAGATTAAATCTGCCACAGTTCCTTTAATTATTCTTTTCTTCATCATTTTTTCCTTCAAAAGCCCTTAGCTTTCAGGTCAGACTAAAAGCTCTGCACTTATCAAGATGAGGGGTTTTTTCCTCAGCTTAAGTAGAAGCAGCACATTTACTTTCCTCTAGTGTGAAGATTTGTTAGATTTATTAAAAACCTTGGCCACTGGACCTCCCAGGAACTTCACTGGGGCTGGGCTTTTAGTCTAGACCCGCTAAGGGCAGAGGCTCACTTCTTTATTTCCACAGCATCACCATCAGAGCAAACATACAGTAACTGTTTCATTCCTCTGGGTTAGGACCATTTTCTGTTGCCTCTATGCTGTAGTTTCTGCCCTGTGCTATTTAAAATGTCATTTTTGTAAAAAAAGAGAATATGAGAATTATTCTGAATGATCAAATACCATCAAGAAAATGTCTCTCATGCTTGGGGGCATGGGGCTGCCTTTTATTTTTTTAATAGCCGTAACAATAATAATAATGTTAGGACAACAAACTAAGATGCCCCTGGAGATGTGACAAATTGGAAGGACATGTTGAAATTGAAATTGATTTAATAGTTCAATAAAATCAGCTTAGTGCACAAAAGCAAAAAGGTTAGCTACAGAAAAAAAAAAAAAAATCGGTAATTTGTTATCTGATGGGGCCAATCTCACTGAAGATTGAATTAGTTATAAACTAAAACTAGGTACTTGAAAGCACCACACTTATATGCCCATACTGGAGCCTTTTGGATGGAACTGGACATGGAAGGCAACCAAGTGCCTGAGGGTTTGACAAAGCTCAGACTGCTTCCATTTGGTGGACTTGGCAGTGCTAGGTTTATGGTTAGACTCGATCATTTTAAAGGTCTTTTCCAACCTAAATGTTTCTATGATTCTATTCTATGATCTGCATGTCTCTGTCTTATACAACTTTACGTACAAACCAAGGACATTTTCCATGTCAGATTGCACTTTTGCTCTAAACATAATACTTATGGCTTCAGTTGGTGGAAATCAGTGCAACTTTGGTGATGGCCCTAAGTTTCCACCAGCAGCTCACCTCTCGCATGTCCGTGATTGCTGCAGCTGCCTCCGGTACCCCGACACAGCACCTGCCTCAAACATGCCTGTTGCTGGAACAATCCTACCTGGTCACCCCATCCATTTGAGATCTGCTATAATTCCTTGCATCTTCTCACTAGGCTTGGACTCCTTACTCTTGCTTGCACATGTGTGGTGCTCCTTTGCCATCCTTCCCCTCTTCCCGTCCTTATGCACCCCCTCTTTGTGGCTGGTACATTTGTACATTACTAAATTCTGGGAATTTTCGTTTTTGGCATTGTAGTATCTGATTGATGCAATCTTTCTTTTAAATTTCTTTAATTTAGTGTTCTGAACTTGTGTGGGGTTTTCTATTAACACTGTGCTGTGACGCTCAGTGAAAGGCTCTGTGTTAAATAAAAAAAAAAAAAAAACAAAAAAACAACTTTATTGTAAACTTGAAATTAGTAAAATGGGATCTGTGAGTATGCACGCACACATGCATGTGTCATCAGAGTATGTATAATTTAATAAGCAGTAAAATGGTGAAGTTAACAAAACTTCTAAATGAGACTTTCTAGTGTCTTACCCCGTCTTGTATGAGAGGATTCATTTTTCCAGGGGAAGCTTTGGTTAAGTGAATAAAGCAAGCTAGAAAGGAGCTGAAGGCGGTGGGGGGTTTTCAGGCTGGATCCCAGTATGAAAAAGTCCTGTGCAGACAGAGTGTGACCTTACCCAAGGTCTGCAGGTGGTTCTCGGGGTTCGGATTAAAGTTCGCATAAAGGCATCGTGAGTTTCGGAATTGCGATGGACACAGGAGGGGAGCTGCCTTTGCCGTGCCCCGGCCGCCCTGGCTTGCTCCGGAGAGCGCACGCGGGAGGGTTGAGCGGGGAGCCCGGGGGCCGTGAAGGGGTCACTGCAAACACGCTGAGATCGAAACACGCCAAGTTAAGAAGGCAGCACTCCCGCCGGTGGAGGCTGTTTCACCACCCTCTCAGCTGCCAGAAAGGAAGGAACACTTTTTTCCCTGCAGCCGCTGCCGACGCGCTGAAGCTTTGACAATAACTACGCCCTCAAATCGGAAATGCTGTGAATTACGCGTCTCTGTCTCACTGCAGTGAGGAACATTAAAGGTGGCTTTGCCATTTAAATGCACTATTGAAATGGAGTCTCTCCTGTGGGCCTCTGACCTGTTTTTCTAATTTATGTGGAATCTGATTGCTGCTCGTTTTTTAAAATATCTTCCCCCTTTCTATGATTTAAACTTAATTTGGCTCACAAGTATTTGGCCTGTTAGGGAATACTTCTGTCAGCATCCCAACTTGTCTGTAAGAGAGAATAAGGAAGGAAAAGCTAAATATGAAACAGAAATTACATTCACTAATAAGGACATTTCAGCCTTACAATTACCCAGTGCTTTACAAATGGAGTAATGAGTGGCAACTTTTTGCATGAGGAAAAACAAGGGCTAACAGTAGTTTCTCCCTCATGTTTTATTATACAAGGTAGCAAGAGATAATGAAAGTGCATTTCCATAATATATTCCAGTTGCAAGGAGCTGATGGATCCCTGTGTCTCATGTCTTGTCAATTTAGCAGGTTAATATCTGTCAATTAAAAGTCCTAGAATCAAGATAAAGCTAAAATTCAGATCTCTGTAATTCTGGCAACTGGGAAGAATTAAAGAATTATGCCAGTTACAGTGCTTCAAGAATGTCTATATAGGGGTAGAGAGACCTAATTGACCTAATTCTTGCCCTCTGAAATTTCAAAGGACATTTGACATTTTGCACAGGTTTGTAACATCAGCGCACGAAAAGAGCAGCCCTTGAGTACCTAAGCTGTTCAGAGAACAGGAGCAATCCAGCATGCAGCAGGTCTCTCCTCCCAGTGAAGTCCCTCCACTTGGCTTTGTACAAAGCTTTTCTTGCATAACATTCTGCCTCCATTTGGTTTTCACACCCTTCAGGCTCTCCGATGCGCCATCGGAGCCACTTGGTCCTTGTGTCCCAGCTCATGTCTATAATTACACCTTAAACCTTGAGGAGTAGGAAGGAATGTTTAGCTTTGCCCTGAGTCACACTGAACTGGGCTGGATCCCTCTGGTTCTTGGCACATTGCTCTGCACATATTTCAGAAGAGCTTTGCTTTCATATCTGCCTGTAAAAGTGGTTCGTGTGACCTGAGCACAGCACGTGTAGACATTCATAGTAAATTCTGCAGATCCAAATGAAAATTTATTGTTGAAGCCAGTTTAAAAGATTAGGAAGTTTTTCTCAGTACGGGCAGATATTCCTAAGTAAAGAGACATCCTGTGGAGTTGTATACACATGCAAGATCAGACGCCCTCTCCTATTTTATTCAGGTTTATTTTCCAGTTGCATTGACATATAGCATCTTTCAGAAGAACTTTAATGTGTGATTTTTATGGCTGGCTCTGTAAGGCTTTTTCTATGAGAGCCATGTTGTTTGGTGCTCAGGAATTTAAATCGGTTCCACTGAACTCCTGTTTATTGCAGAGAATGGTTTTTTTTTTCATACTGGACTTAAATTCTCCATATTTACCAAGATAGTGTTAAGGATTGAAACATGGAGAGTATTTTAAGTATCAAAATGCTTTGTGGGCATTGAACTGTGTGAGCAGAACGAGCTGGAGGGCTGCCAGGCAACATTGCTGTCAGTTTTGGAGGTAAAATGTTCTTAGTGATGTTTTCAATGAAAAACGCATTAGAAAAAATTTTACTGGTTTTCAGAAGAGAGAAACTAATGTTACCAAAAATGCTTAAAAATTAACAAAAATGTCTGTTTCTACCAAGGATTTTTGCCCATGCAATTTTTATTTTCCCCTAAAACAGGTGATATCCACCAATCTATGCACAAATCCTTTCAAGAACATGATAGAAAATTTTAGTTGTCTTTTTTACTAACATTCTGAATCTGATTAATTTCTTAGTCTACTTAAAGATTTCACTTATATAAGGAAAATAAACCAAGGCATTTTACAGGATGCATTTTTGTTTCTCATCTTTTTCTTTTCTTTGTTTTTTTCCAGAAAGTTCAGCAGTATATAGTCATTGTTCAAGCCACAGATATGGAGGGAAATCTTAACTATGGTCTCTCAAATACAGCAACAGCGATCATTACGGTGACAGATGTGAATGACAACCCACCCGAATTCACTACCAGCACTGTAAGTATCAATACATCAGCACAATGATGCATGGACACACAGCGTGTTTGTAATTCATGGATGTTTATAACCATCGTCTCTCTTAGCTCGTTTGGCAGATAGGAGGAACTCGATAGATAACCGTGGAACAAAGACTTTTAGGGGGAAAAAAAGGAGGAAAAAAGGAAGAAGGAATAGCAGAATGATTCATAAACTAGCAAAACTATTTGGCGACCAATTTCGCTGTGGAGCTGAAATAATGTGGCAAACAGACTATGTCTGATTGCACCAAAGAGGATACAGTTGTTTCACAGCAATTGGCTGTAGACATTTCAGAGCTGTTATTACTTATGAGCGAAATCCTGAGCAGTTTTTTGGGTTTAGTAGCTTGGATATGATTTCAAGGAAGCAGTAAATACTCTAAATGGTAACAGGTATCCGGTAAAATTTGTATTTCACAGATAGCTCTAACAGATGTATTTGTGTGTGCCAGCAGTAAATGTGTAGGCATTCTTCAGTACATCTGGTTTTAATCAGTTAAAGATCTTTCTTATATTAGTACAGTATTTCTCTATTCTGTTCTCATGTTCTCCAAGTTGCTATTGCTGAAGGACAAGGGAAAAAAAACATATGAATTGTAAGTGATAAATTCTTAGAGCTGGTTAAGGTAAAAATGAAGTTGGAAGTGAAATTATGTAGTCTGGTTCTTTCCAGCCTTCATAATCCATAGACATAGAACTTCTGAAATATGTGTAGTAATTTTAGAAACCACAGAGCACTACAGATATCTACATGCTAATGAGAAATCACTGTGTATCCACCATCTATATCCTTATGAGGGTCAACAAGGAGCAGTAAGTGATGTATCTTAAACTGATACCAAATATTTAACACTACAGAAAGTCTAACTGCATTGTGTTCAAGTCAATGAACATCATTTGAGGAATGTTTTTATTACTTCTATTATTCTGAATTTCCATTCCATCTTAAAGGGTCTGCAAATATTTATTAATATTAGTACCAAAGTTTCCCCTTAGTTAGACCATTACAAACTACAGATACATAGCAGAACTGAAGGAATTCATGCAGAACCCAATTTATGCCACCCTGGACCCAGGTCGGCTCCATGCCAGCTATGGAGTCTTGGTTCTTCCCTCCCATTGCCATTGGGACCTGGGCTCATGGATGTGGTGTGCTCAGCTCCCGAGCAGTGCCATCATTTTCTGACAAATGTGACTTGGACCTCGATTCTCAGAAAAAGGAAGGCACTAAATTCCTCCTGAATCAGAAAAATGGGCACCCAACACGTTTTCGGATCTAGGCATCAATCTGCAGCCTGCATTGCTGCTCCATCGAGTATAGGGTAGGTTTAACAGCAGCACATGTGCTTCATATTGATCATAGTGAATACACTGAGCCTTGTATTGTAAAGTTGTCATTAAATGTCTCCTTAAATATGATATAGTTGTGAAGAGCCATAAAAATCTGATACAAGTCTTGGGCCATGTGGTCCCTTCTGCTACCAGCATGGGATTGTTCTCTCTTGAAAATTTTATAGTGGCCAGTTTTCCAGAGTTTTGCGTGTCTCAGGCCATGGGGCTTTTCACCACAGCAGTACGTGTGCCTCAGCTTGCTAGTGTTTGCATGGGGGGGAACCTTATTTTGCCAGGTAAATACTTCTTTAACCCACATTTGAGTGAAAATGGAATGACATCTAGTGGCCACGTCATTTAAGCACAGGTTGTTCCAGATGACCCGGGTTGCCTGGTCTTTGTCTCCAAATGCAGGTTAGGAGGTGAGGTTTCAGGTAGCGGGATGAGCGGTGTCAGGGTTAGTCACACGTGCACATCAGTGCCTTCTGGAGGGCAGCATCCCTCCAGATGTGGTATGTTTTAATATCTTTCCAAAACACTTTCTGAAGTTAAATCTGATGGAAGGTGAGATAATGGAAATTTGCTTTCGGGTGAATTCTGAGTATTTAGTGTCTCAGTATGTGTTAGACCTAGAAGGAATAAAAGCCATCAAGAGAAATACCCACAGGATTGTGTTAAATGGATTAGAAAATGCTACTCTTCCTCTAAGCAGGGTTGATGTGTACCATTACTTCTCTAATTTCAGTCACTGAAGAAAGAGTTTTGCAAAGGCCAAAGGGCTTTACACAGCAGCACATGGGACACTATAAAGATTTGAAAACAAAGGGTGTTTTACAATAATATTTTCTAATTCTATGGAAACAAATATCTTTAATACACTCCTGGGTATAGGCAGGATGAATTTCATGTGATTACGAAAGTATAATATGATGTTTCCCTGACTGACAGAGAAAATAGCATCAGGCTGATCAGTCTCTTTAAACCTGAGCTGAATCTCCTTGCTGTCCTCAAATAGTCTGATCTGCATTTTAACACCTCTGAAAAATTGCAAAAGTCTCTTTCCAGGAAATCTACAGCTCCTCAGAGAGTAAGAAAGCCCATGGTCTCTTTTAAGACAGGGGACTGTTTGGAGAGATACAGTATATTTTTATTTTAAATACTTCTGTGTTGAAATGCTGTTGTAAAAGCAAAGTAGGCTGAATAACCGAAATTGTGGTTTCCTCTTGGAAAGCTGCCAGATGAAAGGAACTCAAGCAACTGCATTCAGCATAGACACATACAAAGGCCCACCCTATAGCACTCCTAAATTACCTGTCATTCAGCCAGGGTGGTTTTAGACTTAATCGTTTCTGGATAAGAACGTAGCTCAGGAGGACACTGCACCATGCTGGTGTCACAGCTCATGTATTCAGCAGCAGGAATTAATGTTACTGTGTAAAATTTAACAACGGGATGAGAGAGAAGAAAACAGGCACTGCGATGGTCAGGAAAGTCAGGTCACGTCCATAGTGGAGCACGCTGTGCAGGGGGGTGAAGAGACTGCATGAACAGAGCACGTGAAAGTTCAGACAGGCGTGCAAGAGCCAAAGTCACACACCCACAGGAGTGGATGGCCTGCAGAGGTGTGTTGGTTAATGGACATCCAAAACACCAGATGGGGCGTGATCAAAATGTAGTGTTAGATGAGAAGTGGAAAAAGAGCAATAAAATCACACAGAAGATCCTTAAATGTACAAATTGAAGATACTCCAGTAAAACTCCAAAATGATTGCTTGCTTACGTGAAAATGGATCAATGTAGTTTTCATACCCCTTAGTACATCACCTGAAAAGCTGGGGGAAGATCCTGCACAATAGCAAGGGAAGAAGCAGCCCCACCTTCTCATACAAAGGATTCTGAAATTATATGGAGGGGTTGGAAATCACAGTCTCTAGTCGAAATAATTTTGAACTGAAGTCTGCTGTTAACTTAAGTGCAGTCTCCCATCAGCAAGAGTCATGACTAGTCCTGATAGTCACAACCAGGACTAGCTGCATCAAGCCGCGAGGTACTGGGGCACAGTGAGGGCACAGTGACCTCCTTTAGTCCTTTCCAGCTTTTTTGTAATGGTGAATGTTTTCTTGATCTGCGATGCTATCTGGCCATGCCGAGAAGCATCAGAGAGCAGCTAACAGTGAGGAAATGTCTCATGAGAGACTGCCCTGGAGTGAGAAGCAATCAGATCTGCGCCAGAAGAGTGGAGCATCCTGTGAAACGCTGTAAACATCATAGGCAGCTATTTGGGGCAATTTTAATGATTTAGTGCAGGACCGTGACCCAGGGAAAGCTCTTCTGGCTAGCTGAGGGACTTCAGCCTGCTCATTGTGTTGTGTTCTTCATGTGACATTGTTGCTTGAAAAAATAAATAAATGGAGAGAGGCAATTCTTCCCTCTGCTGAAGAGCAGAGGTACAAATTCTGGGCAAGCAGAGGTAACACCATCTCTACAGCTTGTCCAACCAGCCCGTGCCCACAGGCTCTGGGTCGGATGCTTTTGAAAAGAGTAGTTTAATCCCCGCTGTGCCCAAGTTTCCCACAGTCCTTAGGGAGTGATTAGCTGTGCTAGTTCACTTTCATGGCATTTTTGATGGGTTTTACGTCTGCCAAATCATCAGCTGTTGTAAAATAGTGACATTTTAAATGGACTGTACTACAAAGGCTTTGTAGGAAGTTTTACTGGGAAACTGGCTCCATTACTGTTAAAAGATAAAGGTACTGGTATCAGTCTGCCATCCATTATGCAGAGTCCCTGTTACTCATAACACGGTCATGTCCTCTGATATGTCTTAATTATGTGAAATTTCCTCAGCCTCCCTTCAAATATTTCTCTCTTGTGTGCAGGCAAGTTGCATTTTTGCTGTATTAATATAGATCCATAGCTGAGCCTCTGGCCCGATGCTCACCTCAGATACAGGGGAAGTGCTCTGAAATTAGTGTCAGTATTTCAGAGATTAAAAATCAGCTGAGACAGAACAATGCTGGATAGTTTCAGGTGAGATTTTATGCAAGGTGGAGGCATCTTTTTTTCTCACAGAATGAATGCCTTTAATTCCAGTGAAATCTTTAACTCCTAGCAGGCAGGATACCCTTTCCAGTCTGACCCATGATACTGTTAATAGCCATCCAAGGGTTTCCACTTTATCTAAGGAAATGCATAATCAGAGGGGAGGAGAAGTTAAAGAAATCCATGCCTACACTTGACTCATACAAAGTCTATTTTTATCGTATTCAATCAGGAACAATCAGGCACAGAGAGGAGACGCAGATGAATTTGCATGATCAGACTTCTGTGTCTTAAATGTTAATTAAAAGTTATTTTAAATTTGCCTACTGTGCAGAACTTGTTTTTATAGTAGCCTGTGTAAGGGAAATATTATTTCACAGGGCTGAAGTGCTCATGATTAGTTGAGCTTGTGGATTCTTGGGAAAACCTGCTTGGCAATCAACCTCTATTAAAAAAAAAAAAAAAAGAAGAAGAAAAGAAAAAAAAAGGAACTGGGCTATTCAAGTTCTTTAAGCTCCTGAGCCTTAGGAGGTCTTATTTAAAGCTACTTTAAAATTTGCCCTTTGGCACTGCTTTGAGAATCTCCTCTTCCAAGGCTGAATCCAG